TTATTATTAATATTTTTATATTTTTAAGATTTTTTGTTTGTATTTTTTTATAGATATTTTTTTTGTATTTTTTGGGGTGCTTTTTTCTTTTTTGGTTTCTTTTCTCTGTTTTTATTTTTCTCGTTCGGTCTCTTTTTTCTCCTTTTCTCTTTAACTTTTTCGTATTCTTATCTCTCTCTTTCTCCCTTTCTCTTTTCTTTCTTTTCTCTTTCTTCCTCTCTCACACTCACTCTCTCTCTCTCTTTTATTACTCTTTCGCTTTCTCTCTTTATTTTCTTTCTCTTTCTGTTTGTGGGTGACTTCATGTATATGTATTTATGTATGCAAATCTATGAAGATCGATAGACAGAGATAGACAGAGAAGGGGATAGATAAAGGATTAATAAAAAATCATTGTTCCAGAGTCTTGGTTTTGTTCTATTATTGAAAAAATAAAGATAAAGTTAAGAAATAATGAATAAGGTAAGACGTAATTCCAATATAACATATTTCATTACAGTGTACCATTTTTTGTGACACACACACACACACACATACACGCGGACAAACACACCACATTCACACACACACACACACTCTCTCTCTTCTCTCTCTCACACACACACACATACGATATATTTGTTCATATTTTTATTCATCCAGTCACCTCTTTGAATAGATTTTTGTGATTTCCTATATAGAAAAGCCTTGGACAGGTTCTTAATCCTGAATTCATATATGAGAACTAAATAATACTTATAAACACGGGTATATTTTGTAGTGTGATGTATAACTAAATTCATATATAAGAACTAAATGATTGATACAAACACGGGTATTTTTGTAGTGTAATGTTATACTAAATTCATATATAAGAACTAAATAATAGTTACAAACACGGGTATATTTTGTGTGATGTATAACTAAATTCATATATGAGAACTAAATAATACTTACAAACACGGGTATATTTTGTAGTGTGATGTATAACGAAGCAGTCTAGGCACATTTCCAGTGATAATTCCTATCATGGTGCAAAACCTTCATGTTTCTCTTATAGAACAGATATCAAGACATACATCTTATACAGAATGAGCATCTCTCTCTCTCTCTCTCTCCCTTGCTGTCTTTCTCTCTATCTCCTCTCACTCTCTCTCTCTCTGTCTGTCTGTATGTCTTTCTCTTTCGCTCTCTCTTGCTGTCTCTTTCTCTCTATCTCCTATCTCTCTCTCTGTCTGTATGTCTCTCTTTCGCTCTCTCTCTCTCTCTCTCTCTTGCTGCCTCTTTCTCTCTACCTCCTATCTCTCTCTATACACACACACACACCACACACACACAAACACACACAACACACACACACACACACATATATATATATATTATAATATATATATATATATATATATATATATATATTATATATATGTGTGTGTGTGTGTGTGTGTGTGTGTATAAAACACCTATATACATATATACATATATATGTTGTGTATATACATACACATGCATTTACATATCTGCATACATAAATGAAAACCTTTACACCACAAAACGCCCGCGTGAAGAAGCGTTTCCTCCGCCGCCAGCGATAAAGCCCCGACGCCGCGCCTCCGGGTCGGCCAAAACCACACCTCCGTCGCCGAAAGCCTTCCCAAAGTCATGCATGAACCAAGATATCCCTTGTAGCCTCCCGGAAGCTGCGTCTTTTATATGCAAATGGGACGGAAAAGAGGGAACCGCGCCACCTGTCGTCTCGGTCCCGGACGACTTACCTGGCGGAGGCGGGTTTCTCGCGCCGGCGGGGGGACGTGGGCGGGATGGGGAGGGGGGGAAATGGGGAGAGGGATGGGGGGGAAAGGGGAGGGTGATAGGGGAAGGGATAGGGGGTGGGGGGATGGGGAGGGTTGGGGAAATGGGGAGGGGGGATGGGGGGAAAGGGGAAGGGTGATAGGGGAAGGGGATAGGGGGTGGGGGGATGGGGATAGGGGGGGGTGGGGATGGGGGATGGGCGGGGGAGGGAAAGGGGATGGATGGGGAAGGGGAAGGGGGATGGGTGGGAAAGGGAAAGGGGGAGGGGATAGGGGGTGGGGGAGGGGATGGGGGTGTGGGGGATGGGGAGAGGGGGATGGATGGGGGGGATGGGCGGGGGTGGGGGATGGGGAAGGGGAAAGGGGGAGGGGGATGGCGAGGGGAAAGGGGAAGGGGAAGGGGGAAGGGAAGAAAGGGGAAGAGGGATGGGGGATAGTTGGGGGAGGGGAAGGGGGATGGGTGGGGGAAGGGGAAGGGGGATGGGGGATGGGCGGGGGAAGGGAAGGGGAAGTGGGGGATGGGTGGGGAAGGGATAGGGGGATGGGAAAGGGGGAGGGGGATGGGTGGGGGAAAGGGAAGGGGGATGGGTGGGAAAGGGGAGGGGAGGAGGTGGTCTTCTGGGTGTCCGTGGCGGGTGTGTAGATGCTTACGTACACATACACATATACACAGACACATATGTGCATACGCAGACATACACACATTGACACTTTAACACACACACACTCGACCACACACACACACACACACACACACACACACCCAGACACTCTAACACACACACTTGACACACACACACACACACACGCACACACACACACACACTCGACCACACACACACACACACACACACAACTGACCACACACAACACACACACACACACACCACACTCGACCACACACACACACCCACACATACACTCGACACACACACACACACACCAGACACAAACATACACACACGACCACACACACACACACACACACACACACACTCGACCACACACACACACACACACACACACACACCACACACACAACACACACACACACACACACACACACACACACACACACACAGACACAACACACATACACACACACACACACACACACACACACACACACACACACACACACACACACACACACACACACACAGTCAGCATACGTCCCTTAGGCCCCTCTCCCCTCTCGTCGCCAGCACAGCGAGTGGAAGCAGAACAGAAAAGGGGAAAGTGTTGCTGCAAATTGTCAAGAGGAAAAGAACGAAATGGCAACTCTCTCTTCCTCCCTTCTCTCCTTCTATCTTCTCTGTTTCCATCCCCTTTTTCCCCTCCCTCTATCTCATCCTTTTCCTCCCTTTATCTTATTCATTTTCCTTCTTTTCCTTTCTCCCTTTTCCTTCCCTTTTCCCCTGTTTCTTGTCTTCATCCTTTCCATTTCATCCTCCCTCTTCCTTCACTCTATCTCCTTCCATTTCCTTCCTCTCTTTTCCCCTTCTTCCCCCTCAACTCTTCCCTCCATTTTCCTCCTTTCCCTCTTCTCTCTATCTTCCTTCCTTCTCCCTTCCTCCCTTCCCTCTTCCTCCTCCCTCCCTCTGTTTTCCTCCTTCCCCTCCTCCCTTTCCTCCCTTCCTCTATCTTCTCCCTCCCTCCCCCCTCCTACAATCCTCAGATAGGCATATGCATAACGTAGGATGGGGGGGGGGGTATGGGAGGGATAGGCAGGAAGGGTAGAGTCGAGGGGAAGGGGTAGTGGCAGGAGGTAGGGGAGTGGTATTGGTAGGAAGGGTAGAGGGTAGGGGGGAGGAGTAGTGGGGGAAAGGTAGGGTATAGATAGAAGGGTAGAAGGTAGGGGGGAGGTACTAGTAGGGAGAAGGGTAGTGGTAGGGGTATAGGGCAGGGACAGGACGGGGTAGGATGGAGGACAGGACGGGTAGGATGGAGGGACAGGACGGTAGCGGGGGGGGCAGAACGGGTAGGGGGAGGGGCAGGACGGGTAGGGGGAGTGGCAAGACATAGAGGGGAGGGGCAGGACGGGTAGGGGGAAGGGTAGAACGGGTAGGATGGAGGGACAGGACGGGTAGGGGGAGAGGCAGGACGGATAGGGGAGGGGCAGGACGGATAGGGAGGGGGGGTGCAGGATAAGCCGTCGCAGGGGCTTTCAAACGGATGGCCATGGACGGTTTTCAGGGGGAGCCATGGCCAGCACCCAGACTAGTATTAGGTAAAGGGAATTTTTTTTGAAAATGTATATATAATATATATATATGGTAAATGGAAAACACACATAAATGGATATAAAAAGTAAAAAATAAATAAATAAATAAAGAGAAGGAATAGAAATACACACACACGCACACACACACACACACACACACAAACACACACACACACACGCACACACACACGCACACACACACACACGAGGTTCAAGTGCTAGGTATAAGGATAAAATGCCAAGTATGAGGAAAAGAGCCAGGTATGAGTACTGAGTGATAGGTGTGAGGACAGAGTGCCAGTAATGAGGACAGAGTAGTAGGTATGAGGACAGAGTAAAAGTTATGAGGATAGACTGGCAGGTATGAGTATAGAGTATTAGGCATGAGGATAGAGTACCAGGTATTAGGATAGAGTGTAAGGTATGAGGATAAGGTATGATCATAAAGTGCCAAGAATGAGCATAAGGTACCAAATATGAGTACAGATTACCAGGTATGAAGATAGAGTACCAAGTATGAGTATAAAGCGCCAGGTATGAGTAAAGAGTGCCAGATATGAGTATAGAATTCCAGGTATGAGCAAAGAGTGCCAAATATGAGTACAGATTTCCAGGTATGAGTAAAGAGTAAAAAGTATATGAGTATAAAACGCCAGGTATGAGTAAAGGTATGAGTGCCGGGGTGAGTACAGAGTGCCAGATATGAGCAAAGAGCACCAAGTATGAGAGTGCAAAGTATGAGGACAAAGGTATGGCGATAACAGCGCCGGCAGGAAGAAAAGAGGAAGAAAGGAGAGGAAGAAAAGAGGAAGAAAGGAGAGAGGAAAGAGGAAGAAAAGAGGAAGAAAGGAGAGGAAGAAAGGAGAGAGGAAAGGGAAGAAGGCGATATACGATGAGGATTAAGAGGGAGAGCGAGGGACGGCGAGGGGAAGGCGGGAGAAAAATGAGGGGAGGATGAGGGGCGAGAGATGGATTTGATCCCCCATTTTTTAAGGAAAAGATTGTGAGGATTGTGTGAGGGGGTTGTGAGGGGTTGTGAGGGTTGTGAGGGGTTGTGAGGGTTGTGAAGGGGTTGTGAGGGTTGTGAAGGGTTGTGAGGGTTGTGAAGGGTTGTTTGTGAAGTTCTTGGGGTTGTGAGGGGTTGTGAAGGGTCGTGAAGGGTTGTGAAGGGCTGTGAAAGGTTGTGAAGGTTGTGAGGGGTTGTGAAGTTCTTGGGGTGTGAAGTTCTTGGGTTGTGAAGGGTTGTGAGGGGTTGTGAGGGTGAAGGGCTGTGAAAGGTTGTGAGGGTTGTGAAGGGTTGTGAAAGGTTGTGAGGGTTGTGAAGGGCTGTGAAGTTCTTGGGTTGTGAGGGTTTGTGAAGGGTTGTAAGTTTTTGGGTTGTGAGGGTTGTGAAGGGTTGTGAAGGGTTGTGAAGTTCTTGGGGTTGTGAGGGGTTGTGAAGGGTTGTGAAAGGTTGTGAAGTTCTTGGGTTGTGAGGGGTTGTGAGGGGTTGTGAAGGGTTGTGAAGTTCTTGGGGTTGTGAGGGGTGAGGGAAATTTTTTGCAGTGTGAGGGAGATCGGAGATTTTTTAAGGTTGTGAGGGATTTTTGTGAGGGTGTGAGGGAGGTCGGGTTGTGAGGTTATGAGAATAATAGATTGCGAAAGATAGGAAAGTGAGTGAAGAATTTAAGGTTATGAGGTACACGGTGTGAAGAAATAAACAAGATATTAATCTTTATGAGGGGCGTGATCACATTATGAGACCCTGTTGTGAGACTAGGTCGTGAGATCATGTTATGAGTCTATGTTGTGAGGCCATGATGAGAGATCATAGTTGAAATCATGTTGTGGGTCCATGTAATAAGACCATGTTATGATATCATGTTGTGAGGTCATGTGTGAGGTCATGTAGTAAGGCCATGTTATGAATTCATGTGTGAGGTCATGTTATGGGTCCATGTAGTAAGACCATGTTATGAAATCATGTTGTGAGGTCATGTTAGGTCATGTAATGTTATGAATTCATGTTGTGAGGTCATGTTGTGGGTAGTAAGGCCATGTTATGGTAAGGGCCTGTTATGAAATCATGTTGTGAGGTCATGTTGTGAGTCATGTAGTAAGGCCATGTATGATCATGTTGTGAGGTCATGTTGTGGGTCCATGTAGTAAGACCATGTTATGAAATCATGTTGTGAGGTCATGTAGTAAGGCCATGTTATGAATTCATGTTGTCAGTTGTGTCATGTAGTAAAGACATGTTATGAAATCATGTTGAGGTCATGTTGAGGTCATGTAAGTAAGGCCATGTTATGAATTCATGTTGTGAGGGCATGTTGTGGGTCCATGTAGTAAGGCCATGTTATGAAATCATGTTGTGAGGTTGTGAGGTCATGTAGTAAGGCCATGTTATGAAATCATGTTGTGAGGTCATGTTGTGAGGTCATGTAGTAAGGCCATGTTATTGAAATGTCATGTTGTGAGGTTCATGTTGTGAGGTCATGTAGTAAGGCCATGTTATGAATTCATGTTGTGAGGTCATGTTGTGGGTCCATGTAGTAAGACCATGTTATGAAATCATGTTGTGAGGTCATGTTGTGAGGTCATGTTAGTAAAGCCATGTTATGAATTCATGTTGTGAGGTCATGGTTGTGAGGTCATGTTAAGACATGTAAGGTCATGTTGTGATGTAGTAAGGCCATGTTATGAAATTCATGTTGTTCATGTTGTGGGCCAGTCCATGTTATGAATTCATGTGTAGAGGTCATGTTGTGAGGTCATGTAGTAAGCCATGTTATGAATTCAGTTGTGAGGTCATGTTGTGAGGTCATGTAGTAAGACATGTTATGAAATCATGTTGTGAGGTGTTGTGAGGTCATGTAGTAAGTGTTATGAATCATGTTGTGTTCATGTTGTGGTCCATGTAGTAAGACCATGTTATGAATCATTGTTGTGAGGTCATGTTGTGAGGTCATGTAGTGTGTTATGAAATCATGTTGTGAGGTCATGTAGTGAGACCATGTTATGAAATCATGTTGTGAAGTCATGTTGTGGGTCCATGTAGCAAGACATGTTATGAAATCATGTTGTGAGACAAAGTCGTGAGATTATGCTGAGTCACTTTAGATATCCATTCAATATTTGTTATAGATTATTTATTAAATACCTAATAATTCATTAGTTTACTTACTTATCTATTAATTTGTTTAATTTATCTATTTCACCAAAGGAACTTTAATAAACTATAATAAATAGGAAAATGAGACATAATAATTTGTTTTTATTTATCATTATGTTGGTTCGCTGATCTGTTTCTTTATTTTTTAAGTCAATTTATCTGTTTTTTTTTGTTTTACTTATTTATCAATTTATCTGTTTCATTGTTCACGCTGATTTATTATTTTCCGAGTGTTTATATCCATTTATTAATCTATACCATTATTTTCTTATATACACATATATTTAGTTATTCATTCTTGTATCCATCTATGTATTTATCCTCTATTTGCTTTTCTCCTTCTTTCGTTAAATGCATATCAGCTGATTTTTCCTTTTCATTTATCAATTCATCCATTTATGTTTATTGTTTATATATTAAGCAAGTCTTTGGTTCATATATTTCTGTACATTTTGGTTATATATTTTATCTATAGAGGGGAAGGGAAGAAAAAGAAAATGAGAAAAGAGAGGGTAGATAGATACTCAAAATACATACATACATACACACCACCACACAACACACACACACACACAGCACACACACACACACACACACACAACAAACACACACACACACACACACACACACGCACACACACACACACAGGCACACACACAACCACACACACATATATATAGTAAATATATATATAAATAATATTATATATAATATATAGTATATATATTATATATATAAAGAGAGAGAGAGAGAGAGAGAGAGAGAGAGAGAGAGAGAGAGAGAAAGAGGAAAGAAGAGAGAGAGAGAGAGGAGAGAGAGGAGAAAGGAGAGAGAGAGAGAGGAGAGAGAGAAAGCGATGCGAGACAGAAAGAGAGAAAGAAGAGCACGAGAGAAACTCAAGCGGAGCGAGAGAGAAGAGCGAGAGACTTCCAGCGCAGTGTCGACCTAAAGCTCCTGCTTCCTCCTCTACTTCCTACTCCTCTTCTGCTTCCTTTCCCTCTCTTCCTCTTTTTTCTTCCTCCTCCTCTTCTCGCCCTTCTTCTTGTCTTCCTCCTCCTTCTCCTCCTCTCCTCTTCCTCTTACCCCCTTTTTTCTTCCACACCTCCCACCTCCTCTTCCTCCTCCACCACTCCTCCTACCCTTCCTCACTCCTCTACCTCCTCCACCAACCACTTCCTCCACCACCACCACCTTCCTCCACCAACTCCACCACTCCTCTCCACCTCCACCACCTACCAATCACCACCTCCTCCTCTACCTACCACCACCTCCTCCTCCACCTCTCTCTTCTTCCTCCACCTCCTCCTCCTCCTCCTTTTTCCTCCTCCTCCACCACCAACCACCACCACTACAGACCACCTCCTCCTCCTCCCCTCCCACCTCCTCCCACCACCTCACCACCACCTCCTCCTCCTCCTCCTCGCACCTCTTCTTCCCTCCTCCTCCTCCTCCACCTCCTGCTAAGGTAAAAGCTACTACTCAAGTGTGACTTAATAAAGGTGAGGTACCACCCTGACTCAGGCGAGAAGAGATGCAGCGCGAAAGTTTGTCAGGGCGGGCTGTGAGGAGACGAGCTCTGTGACAACATTGGGAGGAGAAGACAGGGAGAGAAAGAAGAGAAAGATAGATAGATAGATAGATAGATAGATTAGATAGAGATAGCTAGATTAGAATAGATAGATAGACTAGAGAGAGATAGCTAGCTAGCTTAGCTAGATAGATAGATAGAGAGAGAAGAGAGAGAGAGAAAGAGAGAGAGGGAGAGAGAGAGAGAGAGAAAGAGAAGAAGAGAGAGAGAGAGAGGAGAAGAGAGAGAGAGAGGAGAGAGAGGAGAGAGAGAGAGAGAGGAGAGAGAGAGAGAGAGAAGAGAGAGAGAGCAGAGAGAGAGAGAGTGAGAGTGAGAGAGAGAGATTGAGAGAGAGGTAGATGGAAGAGAGAGAGAGAGAAAGAGAGAGAGGGAAGAGAGAGAGAGTGGGAAGAGGAGAGAGAGAGAGAGAGAGAGAGAGAGAAAGAGAGAGAGAGAGAGAGAGAGAGAGAGGAGAGAGAAAGAGAGAGAAGAGAGAGAGAGAGAGAGAGAGACAGAGACAAGAGAGAGATAACCAGACAGAGAGAGAAGACAGAGATGTGTTTCGAGGTGTTTTGTCAGCGTGATAAGGGAGATCTCCTGGTGATGTGATGCTGAGATGTCAGGATGTGGTGTGAGAAGAGATCAGTGACAACAGGAAATCTCTCGAGGTGATGTGTTGTCGAGGTGTTGTCAGGAAGATGAGAGGTCTCTTGGTGATGTGTTATTTGAGATGTCAGGGTGATGTGCATCTGAGATGTTGTCAGGGTGATAGTGAGTGGTGTATGTTGAGGAGGGTGATAGGAAGTATCAGTGGTGTACTGTTGAGATGTTGTCAGGGTGTGTAGTGCGACAACTTTCATGGGTACTGTGATGTCGAGATGTTGTCAGGGAGATTAAGGGACATATTTAGGTAAATTGTTGTTGAGATGTTGTCAGGGTGTCTGGGCTGACAGTAAATGTTGTCAGGGAGATTAAGGGACATATTTAGGTAAATTGCTGTTGAGATGTTGTCAGGGTGTCTGGTGTGACAGTAAATGTTGTCAGGGAGAGTAAGGGAGATATTTAGGTAATTTGCTGTTGAGATGTTGTCAGGGTGTGTGGCGTGACAACAGACTTTATGATTGACGTGGTGGCGAGATGTTGTCAGGGTTGGTGTGTCACTGTTGTCAGAGTGTGGTGTGACAACAGTTCTCTCGATTGAATCGTGGTTGGTATGTTGTCAGGATGAGCTGAGATAATGATAAGAATGGTGATAATAATGAGGATATTAACAATAATGAGGATGATTATGATAATAAGAATTATAACAATAATGATTAGGATAAAAATAATGATAATGATATTGTTGGTGATAATGATGATGATAAATATAAGGATTAATGATGATAATAATTCATAATAATGGTAAAAAAATAAAAGATGATAAAACATTAGTAAGAGTAGCATTAACATAATGATATTAATAATGATAATGGTAAGGATAAAATGAAAATGATGATATGATAATAATGATTAATGATGAATAATGAGTAGAAAAGTAATAATGATCATGGGTAATTGTAATAGTATTAAACGTAATTAATGATATAATAATACAATAATGATAACATGAATAATAATGATAATAATAAAATAACAATTATACAATAATAGTATTATAATAATCATAATGATCATATTTTTGATAATGATAATGCTAATCATAACGATAATGAAACTGACAATAATAATGATGATAAAAACTATTATGATGGTAATAATAATAATGATAGTAATAATAGTAAAGCCTTTGAGAATGGATGCTCTGTTTTAAATGACTCCAAATAAATCAGAAATACAATTAGATGCAATTAATAAAACCTAAGGTCCGTTTTTTAAATTATGCTGTACACTACTATCTCTCTTAATCTAGCAAAAATAAAAATCTTATTACACAAAAGAGAAGATAAGAATGGCTAAATCACACGTCAAAAAATCATCGTTTTTGCAACGCCACAAATTAAACTCAAAATTGGATCCAAATATGGTACAGACTTTGTACCTGCCTAAGG